CGAAAATTTTCATTATTTTCGCTAAAAATTGTAGTGAAATAGCTATTTTCAGCCAAAAAAATTTTGAAAAATTCGTTGTCAGTTGAAAAGCGGGCCGAGCGGGCCGGGCCGGGCCGGAGAAACCGTCGGCCCGGCCCGGCCCGTTTTGTCGTCAGCCCGGCCCGCACGGGCCGGGCCGGGCCGGGCCGGGCCGGCCCGCGGGCCGGCCCCCAATTTTGCAAGTATGAGATATACTGCTAAGAACATAAGAACATCTCTGGGAGATCAGTAGATCCAGTAATGTATGTTCAATAAAGTATATCTCAATGGTTTTTAGAGCTATGAAAAAGTTGCCAACTAGTAAAATGTTTCAAATGTCTTAAGGAACATTTTTCTAGTTGGTCACTTTTTGAAATTATCGACAGCAATTGAGATATATTGCTAGGAAAGTTGCACACCTCCGGGAGATCAGAAGAGGACAGTACTGTATGTTCAGAGCAGTATATCTCAGTTCTTTTCAGAGCTATAAAAAAGTGCCCAACTGGAAAAATGTTCAGAATCTCTTGAGAAACAATTTTTTAGTTGATCACTTTCCGAAACTCTTGAAGGCAACCGATATATACTGCTAAGAACATGGGAACATCTCTGGGAGATCAGAAGAGTACAATACTGTACACTCAAAGCAGTATATCCTAGTTGTTTTTTGTGCTATGGAAAAGATGTTAACTAGTAAAAAGTTCAAAATGTCTTGAGGAACATTTTTTCAGTTGATCACTTTTTGAAATTCTCAAAGGCAATTGAGATATACTGCTAGGAACATGGGAACACCTCTGAGAGATCAGAAGAGTACGATACGGTATGTTCAAAACAGTATATCTCAGTTCTTTTTAGAGCTATGGAAAAGATGTTAACTAGTAAAATGTTTGAAATGTCTTGTGAAACATTTTTCTAGTTGATCACTTTTTGAAATTCACAAAGGCAACCGAGATATACTACTGTAAACATGGAAGACCAAATATTCGGCGCATACCTCTTGCTCAGAACCTCATATCTCGGTTCCTATCGGAGGTATCAAAAAGTGGTCAACTAGTAAAATGTTGAAAATGTCTTGATGAACTTATTTTTAGTTGACAACTTTTTGATACTATGCCTAGAAGTCGAGATATGGTGTGTTAAAATCAATGGCACATAGGGCAAGTTCAGGCTTACTGTATTCCGGAAGTTTTAGGTTCCGGATGTCAGGTTGGCAGTCCTGTTATCGATTGATATGAATTTTCTTTGATTAATCTGATCATAACTATTTTAGCCTACTTCCGGTTCCTGGATTCCGGAAGTTCACTTCTACCGGTTACAGTTTTTACATGCCCATTTTCATATTCTGGTATTTTACCCACCTGCAAATTTATCAAATTTCGATTTTTCAAAACTCCAAAACCTAGATCTACTGTATCCACAGCAATCAACCTAACCTCACTCAATCATCATAATTCCTTCCAACACCTGTAATAATAACATCACACATATGTATCTGATATAACTACTCTAAACTTCAATACATCATAATATTGGCCCCAATGAATGAGTTGATGACATTTGACACTGTTAGAGTCACTTGGATTACTTCTGCTGATCTCTTCGATTACACCAAACAACACCTGGTGTCATATATATTTGGACACAACACATGCAATTGGAACAACAGAAGGGGAGGGACTGAAGGACTGGTGGGGATTTTTGGATTTTTGGGAAGAAATTTTATTTTCAGATATTGGAAATGAAGAAAAAACACGGGCTCATTTGGCGAACCAAAATTCAAAAATGCTGAAAGTGCGCTCTATTGGACGCTTGGCATGATGCAAAAATACAAAATTTTTTGAAAAATTTTGATATATTTTGAGATTTCAAAGAAACTACAGGTCAAAATAGACAGTTTCCACATATGCTATCAATTTTTTTTTGTCTTGAATTTAGAGAAATGCATCGTTTTTGCTGAAAATTCAATGTTTTCTGCAATCACTGTCACGTCAAAATGCAGAAATGTCGTAGTTTACAGTGCTTTTTAACGCTACGTATCGAATCCCAATGGTTAAGTGCCCGATACGCAGCGAAATTGCTTTTTTTGGCGGCAGTTCAAATTTTAAAAGATGGTACACCAAATGAGCCCGTGAAAAAATAATTGAGTGGACGTTCAGAGAAGAAATTTTTGATCTACCCGATTACAGGAT